GTGTACATGTAATCCCAGCAGCTCGGGAGGCTGAGGCAGGAAAATCGTGAATTTGAAGCCAGCCTCAGCAATTTATTGAGACCCTGTCTCTAAATAAAATACAAAAAAGGGCTGGGGATGAGGCTTAGTGATAAAGTACCCCTAGGTTCAATCTTTGGTACCAAAAAAAAAATAATAATAATGAAATAAAACCCCATCTGTCAGAGGGGAGGTGGGGCGGAACTCGTACTCTGTGAATGATTGAGTCAAAGCGCTCCCTGGAGACACAAAGATCCCAGCAGCAGTGGCCTGGGAGGGACAGGCGAGCTGGTGGGTCTCCTGCTGTGACGCTCATGGTGTCTGCATCTGCGTTCAGCCTGTAACTAGCATGTTCTTTGCCAAATGTCTTCCAGGAGCCATCAATTTCCTGCGCTCTCTCCTGGAACCAGACCCCGTGAAGAGGCCAAATATTCAGCAAGCACTGGCCAACCGCTGGCTCAATGAGAATTACACAGGCAAAGTGCCCTGCAACGTCACCTACCCCAACAGGTAATTTAGTGCACACAGAGGGACTCCTCTGGAGAGACAGGGTCTGTCCTTCAAGCCCTGGGTTGTCCTCTGGACAGCAGGTCGCACAGGATTCAAAGCAGAGCCGCCTTTTCGGTGCACAAGAGGAAGAAGACGGGGCCAGCGTGCGTGGTTGTTCAGAGGGGCAAGTGGAGGCTGAAATCCAGGCCGTGAACCCTTCTCCTAGCCTTTATTTAAGGGCCTGTGTCTTTCCTGAGGGGTGCTGCTCTTTAGTTCCCATGAAGGGACCATGTAGACAAACTGTGACATGTGTATATATTAGAGTGTGAGTGTGTGTGTGTGTGTGTGTGTGTGTGTGTGTGTGTCTGCCTGGGTCTGTGTGTGTGTGTTTGTGTGCATGTCTGTGTGTCTGTGAGCCTGTGTGCCTGTGTGATCCACCCCCGAGCTCTCCTGCCAACATGAGGCAGACTCCTGGGGAACTTTCCTTCAGACCACCCCTCAGAGGCCTCTTGGTCCTTGATATTTCTTGCAGACCTGAGACTCCACCTTAATGCACTGGGGAGAGGAAGAAGAGGGGGTAGGGGTCACTCGCTTCCTGCTGGGTTTCCCTGTGGACTTCCTGTCAGGCTTGACCTGTCAGTATCCATGAGGAGGGCCCATTAAGGAGAGTTATGGACAGGGATCCACAGCCAGGAACACTCRGAGGCGTTTTGTGTGGCCCAGGCTTCTCCATGCTGGGGTGCTGACTACAGTTTTGAGAACAAGTACAAGAAAGCATGTCCTGACACTTTTTTTTCCTACTCATCTGACATAGTATTAACCAATGTGAGCAAGGGAGGGAGGGGACCCTCACCTCGGCTGCTTTAGAGCAGACCTGGAGACCACCCGGCCCGATACCTTGCAGGTCTGAGAACCGCTCTTCTTCTTTCAGACCTAGGGAGGCCTGCACATTTGACCACACTTGCATGGGGACCAGAGGACTGCTGATCGAGGGGGGACTGAMAGGGCAGGGAAGGAGATGTCCTCTGCGGTCATAGTTCCAAAATGCCTAGAAAATTCTGAAAACACACTTCAGGTCTTATCAGAGCTGCAATGCTGAGTAGGTCTAGAAGAACTGAAGGGGGGCGGGTGGACCCCTTCACACCACTTTGTCCACACTACTTGGCCAAATTTACACTTGCTGTGGTCAGGGAGGAGGTGGTTTTGCACAGTTGCCATCTAGAATTCTAGCATTTGGCTCATGGGCGGTAATTTAGACAAAGTCTAGATTACTTAGGTTACCAAGGGAACCTGAAAATAGATTGCTGTTTTCCAACACCTGCTCAATTTGGGCCAGTATCTGAAACACACACCAGAAATATTACCCTAACGTGAGACAGAAAGCAGAGCTGAGGGGCCGGGCCTCATTACCAATGGATAGCAGCACTCAGGTGTGCTTTCTGTTAAAGGAGGGGGCATTGGTGGCAGCCAGATGAGCCATTAAGCTAATGTAATCACCACCTAAATGAGCATAATCCATCCACCAGCTCCTCAGCTGTGGAAGGGGTGGGGTTGGTATTAGAAATCCAGCCAGCCTCCTCCTTGTTGGCCACATCTTTGTTGACAGAGAGTCATGATGTGGTGTCTTATTTTGGAGCTTTCTCACATTTGTAAACAGGATTTGGTAGATTAAAACTTAAGTTCAAGTTCCTATACTGGTTTTGCCAGATTGATATTTTTAATTTTTTTTTTTCATTTGAACTTGGTCAGAAACACAGAGATGGAACATGTAATTGGTTAAGTAGGTTATAAACATGGTTAAGATCTCATATATAAACCACCCCCTACCCCCCACAGCTCCGTGTCTTCTGTTTATGTAAGGCCCATTACTCATTTTATACTAGAGTCAAATTAGTGCTCAATTTTTAAGACAGGAAGCCAGAATTCCAAACGGTTTGGGGGAGGTCCATGTTATTTATAGTCTTTATTTTGAAAAATGTTTATCTTTAAGATGAAAATATATTTTTGATACTTACTTTTCTTGTTTTACTAACACATAGATAAAAGGAGAAAGAACATACAATTAAAGAAAGGACTATTTATAAAGTATGGTTTATAGTTTCCCAACATTCCTAGCCCCAGATTTGATTATTTTAGACACTGTCAGTGTTTTCCTTTAGGAAAGGAAGGTCCCAGGTTTTGTATCACTCTTCTGTGAAACCTTCTCCTATAAAGTTATTTGGACTTCTGAATTGGTCTCTAAAAGGAAAGAGGAAAATAACTCTGGAAGTGAATTTTTTATAATAAATGTTCATGCCAATCAGTCCATACATGTTTGTGGGGAGCCTGGCTGCCCCTTAGGTCTAGCACAGACATTTTTTAAGCCACCCTTGCTGCCTCTTGCTGCCTCCCCACAGGGTCCTGGACAGCTCCCCACCTCTCCTTTGGCTCTGGAGATGGGTGGGAGGAAAGGAGGTGATGGACGATTAAATCTGGTATAAAACCAGATTTAATGAGATGTACTTGGTTTAAATTATACCTCACATTCTGGAACGGTTTGCTATTCTCTGTGTCATCCAAACATTCAGAGATGATACAAATTCAATAACAGACATTGGAGAATGCCAAATATATACATTATTTATTGGAAAATGTTTTAAATATGTATTACTTGCAGTCAAGAAACTGTTGACAGCCTGTTTTAGCAGGCCTCTCCTGTTTTTGAAGACAATTGATATAAAGGGAGCCATGGRGTATCTGCCCCAAGAACATCCCTCGCCACACTATCCCCCATTCCCTGGGCAGTGGCGCCTCACCACCTCCCAGGAACCTGCGCTGGACTAGAGGGTGGGACCCTGTGAGTGTGCATGCARTCGGATTGGCCAGGAGCAGAGCCACGCAAGTGTCGCTGTGATCTGATTGGCCAGGAGCAGAACCACACCCCCACTGCCCCTACCATGCAWTTTCAAACAGTGTCACCCTGCGTGTTGAGTGGTTTAGCCAACCACAAGTAGTTTTATATATTTGAACTAACGTTATTAATATCTTTTTTTTTACAACTAGTCGTTTCAACTTCCCTCCTGGCCATTACCTAGAATTTGTAATTTTATAGCACACAGGAGTGAGGAGAAGGGTTTCCTTGTTCTTTGGGCCTGTTTTGTTTTGTTTTTTTGTTTTTGTCTGGGATGAGGCAGTACCTACTCCCGTCTAGTGAGAGGAGAGCTGAGGTAGGTCACACCTACGGATGGTAAATGATGGTCAGGAGGCAGTTTTACCCTCCTCACCGTGCCAGCTGGCCACGTGGGCTGGGCAAGTGGGGCCCCTGCTTTTTACAATTATAGGTTGCACTGTGGGGTTCCTCTGAGGTTCCATCAGAAATGTCTTCAGACCCTCTGGTGGCAGTTATGGGGCTCTCCGGCCATTTGCTTTAGCCTTCTGCTCACCGAGGGCCCTATTTGTGTCTCTTGAGAGATTTAGGATGATGCACCCCGCACTACCTGCACACAGTGCCTTAGGACCCTCCGCCTGGTTTCTTGTGCTCTGTAGCCATTCTGTGTGTCATTGAGAGGGTGTGAGTGTAGAGGTTTAGCCTCCAGACCCAGCCAGGCTGTCCAGGTCATAACTCTGGGGCTGTTCTTTCTGCCTGTGTGACTCTGGGAAAATTACTTCACTGCTCTGGGCTTTGGTTTTCTTCTCTGTAAAATGGGCATGATGATGGAATCCACTCACAGGACCGTCAGGAGGACTAAATCAAGTTACATTCTCTCTCTCCCACTGGAATGTCAGCTCCAAGAGGCAGGGATTTGGTGGGTGGGTGAGTGAATGAGTGAATAAGTAAATGCCCAGGATGTCTTAAGCCTTCTGACTTAGTGAGTTTTTCACAATACGCCTGTGATGAAGCTTTGGCTTGTCTTCCTCTGAGAGCACCCCACTTCCCAGCTGAACCCCTGGTTCCCTGCTGTGAACTTGTGAGTGTTCACTGGCTCCTGATCMTGGTGTGGACCAGCTTCTGAATACCTTTATTTCCCATCCCAAAGACCAGGTTGAGTGTGGGCTCCACCCATGGGCAAGAAATACATTTTACRGAAAATGTCTATTTGTAAAGAGACTTGGGAGGCAGTTGGAGAATTTGAATGTGATTTGGGTATTAGAGGATACTAAGGAATTATTAAGACGATACTAAGGGAGCGTGATCCTATAGGGGATATTCTAGGGGAGGTTCAAAGACATACACTGAARGGTTTAAAAATACAATGTTATGGTGCCCGTAATTTAAAATACCTTGGCAAAAAAAAAAAAAAAAAAGTGAATGAAGCAAGTGTAGTGAAATGGTAATTGTTACATCCAGGTGATGGTATGACATGAGGCAATTATGGTCATCCCTCTGTATCTGGGGGGACTGGTTCTAGGATCCTGCCTCMGGACACCAAAAATCAACAGATGCTCAAATTCCTACGCACAGTAAAATCCTATAGTTTTTGTWTATAACCTATGCACATCCTCTTATATATTTGAAACACCTGTAGATTACTTATAATACCAAATACAACATACAYGCTATGTGAATAGTTACAATATTGCCTTTGTTTAGGGGATCGTCACAAGAAAAATGTCGGTTCAGGTTCAGTACAGAGAAATTTAAAACATATTTTCCATCTGTATTGGTTGAACCTCACGGGTGGGGAAGCCCTGGATCTGAAGGGCTGACTGTATACCGTTCCCTTCACTTTCCTGGATGCATGGAATTTCTCACAGTCAGGTGGATGAATGAACCATTAGACCTGATTGTCCACAGGGGGCCTTTGGGGCCAGCTGTGCCGCCTTGTTTGTGAGCCACTCTGTGGAGAGGTGACCGCTTGTCTCTGTGCCTCGYAGGATTTCTCTGGAGGACCTGAGCCCCAGCGTGGTGCTGCACATGACRGAGAAGCTGGGCTACAAGAACAGTGACGTGATCAACACGGTGCTGTCCAACCGTGCCTGCCACATCCTCGCCATCTACTTCCTCTTAAACAAGAAACTCGAGCGCTATTTGTCAGGGGTAAGTGGGACCCTGYGGGAGGTTTGTTTCTGTCCAGCGTCGTCGCCCAGTTGCTGACACTTGATCCCAGCTACTAACTTCACCTGATGCAAAGCTGAGTTTCTAGTTGGAGGGACAAAGGGGTAGCAAACCCTGCTTCTCAGGTAGCGCTTTTAACCTGAGATTCTGCCTGGGCAGAATGGAGAGGGGTTCCAGCCTGTTTTCCTTCAGCTTCTCAGTTGCCTGTTTTTCTTCTGCCCCAATAAGGTTCCCCGGGTTAGAGCTGTTGAGGGCTTYTCTGGTCATTAAAGTTGGGGAGAGGACCCTCTTGGGCATTCATCCATACAGCATGGTATTTGAGAAAGCCATGACAGCCCTCTGTCATGTATGTTCTACTGAACACATACAAATTTTTCTCCTTGTCATTATTCCCCTAAACAATACARTATGACAACTAGTTACATAGCATTTATCTTGTAGGTAGCCCAAGTAATCTAGAGATTCAAAGTAAATAAGAGGGTGTGCATAGGTTATATGCAAATTCTACATTGTTTTCCATAAGCATTGGCAGCTTTTGTATCCACTGGGGGTAGGGGTGGGAGTCCTGGAACCTATTGCCCGAGGACACTGAGGGATGCCTGTAGTGACACTCACTTCTCCAGAAAATAAGAATGAAATTGAGCTTCACTAGCTTGACCCTGTATCTTCGTGCAGTCTGGGTGTCAGGAAGTTCATGCCTGGTGTCATGTGTCAAGTGCGTTTGGTGTCCTGTACCATTCTGGCCACAAGCAGTTCATATTGTGCCTGGGAAGGAGAGCTGATGTGCTTCGGCATCTAGTTTTGACTAAATCATCTCTTTCCAAGTTGACAATGACTTAAACTATTTCTACACCTAAAATGGATCTAAGACAATAAAGATCCTGTACCAGACTACCCCTGCTTCTATTCAGCTGGGTTAGTGCAGACCAGATCTAACAGGAGGTCAGTAAAGAAATTCAGCATTGGTAGGAAGCCCATCTAAGATTTGATGGAATATTTGCTTTCATGAAGGATTACCTTGATGCTGTGTATGTGGCACCTGGCGATCTGATAGAGTGCAGTTGTCTCTGTTGGGACACCATTTAGAATCTAGATGGTAAGAATAAACTTTTAGAGCTTTCTCAGTGCTATTGAAAGTCACATGATAGCCCAATAATGTCACAAAATTCTTCCAAGGTTTAGAAACTTTTTTGAATATTAGAGCAAAAGATGAAAATCCATCTGCAGCTGGGGAATCCATATTCTCCCYGCCATGGCAGAAATGACCAAAATACTATCCATAAGGCAAGAGGGTCAGTTTGTCTCATTAGCGGATAGATTTGGGAGATGGCTAGAAAACATGGCTTGATATATGAAGGAGCTCTACAGAAGGTTTGTTGAACAGTTGGATGAAAGTACAGATGTTTCCAAGCTGATTCAGCTTCCGAGAGTTGCTAGATTTTGCTTCCGTAGGGAATTATCCACAGATTTTTTTTTTTTTTTTTTGATGAACCACCAAGAGAAGAAACATTCTCTACAGTGAAAGGCATTTCAAAATGAGAACGATGTTTTATGGGTGTAAAATATGCTCTGTGTAAGCAGAGAATCTATTCCACTGGGAATAGATTTGTAGCTTTGAGGTTGCATTTCAGTGTTGTTGCATCACTCATAGGAATCTACTGTAGGAAAGGTGTCAAACCCAGAAAAAYAGGACTTTTGACACTTAGTGCACGTATCAGTCCATTTTCTGTTGCTGTGACAAACTACCTGAGGTAGTTTGTTCATGGTTTTGGAAGCTCAGTGTTCAAGATCAGGAAGCTCCGTCTGCTTGGCCTCTGGGAAGGACTCCCTGGCTGTATCACAATATGGCAGAGAAKAGGAAAGAAAAGTGACCACATGGATAAAGGCCAAGTATGTTGGATGGCCTCGCTTTGTAACTGCCTGCTCCTAGAGTACTGCCTCACTCCATAAGATAAAGTCTCCAATGACCTAATTATCTTGCACTAGGCTCTGCCTCTTTAAGGTTCCACCACCTCTTAACTTGACCACGTGGRGAAACAAACTTTTAGCACATGAATTTTTCACAGGTCATACCATAGTTTATGATTTTATATTTAGGATTTTACTAGGTGATACGGAGAGATTAAAAAGATCTCTGTACCACACAGTGTTCCTCTATTCTCATCATGAGCAATTTAAAAGACACGGGACCTGAAGCTGAATCATATGCTCCAAATTTCTTTTATCTTATCCTTTTAAATTCCTATTGCATATTTTATAATGCAGCTGATATATTAGTACAGTGGTTCTTGCTTATGATTGATGGCTGAATGTGCATATTATCTACGTCCCTCTGTATACTTTTTCCACTCCTAAGGGCTCACAGTGATACYCTTTGGAGACCACCATGCTAGAGAGGGCAAAAGTTTTCAGATGGTTCCCAAGTAAGAGAAGAGTTAACACACTGATTTTCTTTTTTAAAGAGACAAGTGTTATTCGAAAATCAAGAAGGATTTTCATGAAACTAGCCATATAATAAAGTTCATGATTTCATGTTTTATGGGATGACTGCCGCTTCCCTAAGTTAACAGATCCAAACATTCTGGTTTTTGAGTGCTTTACCAAGTAAGATGGGAGAGGTGTTCATTTTTAAAATAGTTTCCTGTGGCTACTTTCACATTTTCAGATTAAAAAAAAATTGGTCATTTGTGCACTTGTGAAACAATTACATGGTTCATCTGAATCAAGAAAGCTGTTTTGCTGAAAGCTCTTGATTCGTTTGGGTGTTTAGCTTTTTGCTACGCGTCTGTCCCTCTGCTTTGTCTAGACTTGGAGTGTCAAGTGTTGCTGGGCATGGTTTTGTCTGCTGAGAACATTCCCTGGAAACTCAGCTGACAGTTCAAACAGGAGAAGGTTTTCATTTTTTTGTGTTGGTTTCACATTTAACCCTTCAGTTGTAGGGCATGCCTGGTCTGATAATCCAAACTGTAGGCAAGTGGCTGTTTTTAATCCAAAGTGAATCAATCTCTACAGACAACTACGGCTGGCCTGCTCAGGGATTTCCAGAGGTGGCTAATTTAATTGCACCATCCCGGTTACTAACCTTATCAGCCAATTACTAACCATCCACATATAATTTTTWAAATCTAATCCACTGAACTAAAAAGTAGTATATGATACCTTAATTATTTCSCCTTTTCTTTATTTTCTCTTGGCTTCTTCTTTTTAAAACGAGGAAGCTAGAGAGTCTGTAAGGGCACTCTTGATTTGTCTTCCACTCCTAATCCATGCCATCATTCTTCTGCCTTCTCCACTTTCATATTGATTGATTGATTAGCTAATTAGTCACTTAATTTTCTCTGTCTCCAGTCAAAATTCCACCTTTATCATCTTAGGTGCAGTTATCCATCTTCTTCTTTAAGGCACAGGATGAATTGCAGTGGCTTCCCTTTGGAGGGTTATGCTGTGCTAAAGTAAGCAGACAAGTGAGATTTAGACCCCATTCAGTGCTTTCCAAAAGATAAGTTGTTTTGCCTGCTCACCCGTTTGGCTTCTGCTTTCCAGCCTGGAGCAATCGCTGTTACTCAGATGAAAGAACCCAAGCCCAGCAGTGGGTAGTGACTGGAGGGTCACCGGCCCTTTGCTTCAGAGCCCATAATAAAAGCAGCCGCCAGACTCTGGGTCCAGTCCCCTCCATGCTGCGTCCTCGGATGAGACTTCACCTTGCCAAGGCTTACCAACCATTCTTGGCACTGTCCCAGACAAGCTCTGGTTTAAAAATGAATGACTGCTTAATGAATGTTTCCATTTCTCAGACTTAAGCTCTGCTTTTCTTCCCTCTGCTGGTAGAAGTCCGACGTCCAGGACAGTGTGTGCTACAAGACCCAGCTCTACCAGATCGAGAAGTGCAGGGGCCCCAAGGAGCCGTATGAGGTGAGTGGCCCAGAAACAAGTCCAGACGCCCTGAGGAAGAGGGGAGGGTGGACAGGAAGCTGGTTACTGTGGGACAAGAGGTACCAAGAGACGGACACCTTGTCACTGAGCCCTTGGGAATTCGTTTGCTGGAGCACCACGGCCCAGTCCCCATGCTGCAGTCCTCCCTGTGGCCACATGTCAGAGTCACAGGGAGCATTTAAACATCCGGGTGCCCAGGCTCCGCTGCAGAAAATTATATCTAATCTTGGGTCAATGTATTTTAAAGCTCCCTGAATGATTCCAATGAGCAGTCAAGGTTGGAAACCCTTGTCCTCGCTCCAAAAGGAACAAACAAACAAACAAAAAGACAGGTGCCCAGAATACAGCCGGATGCCAGGAGAGAGCAAGACGAGGAGCAGGGAATGTTCCGGAGGACAGCAAGCTTGTCTAGTCAGCTCTGTGGTGACTTGATGCCGTGGAGAACATTCCTGAGGGGAAACACCAACGGTTAATTTCAGAGTAAAAATTAGTGTCCCACGGCAAAAGGTTACAGCCTCCAACCCCACACCCCCAAGGCCAGGAGCACAGGACTGCCCTCTTTTCTCCRTCAAGTGGGCTCTTCTTTCTCAGTTTTTTTCCCAGGGAACCCACTCCCACTCTCTCTCTCTGAAAACCTCTGCCATGTCCCCTGTGTCCCCGTCACAGGAACCTGTCCTGGGACACTCAGGAATTCCCTCATGGGATYGTCCTTGCCCGGCCACTTCCCGTTCCTTTCCCTGGTTAAGTTTTCCTGGTCCCCCGAGTCCCGCACGCACACTGCCTGCGAAGGATTCTCTCTGGGGCTCACTGGGTCTAGCTGTGCCCAGGACGAGATGATCCTGTGTGAATTGGTGGGGGCTCGGGACAGGGCTCATCCCCAGGCGCCGGGCCAGGGGCGATGGCATGGCTGCCCTTCCTATAGAGAGCGAGGGGCAGAGGGAAGGGGCAAAGACGGTGACGAGGAATGGCCAGGGAGGAGAGGCAGGGGGGACCCATGTCAGGGAGACTGTGGCATGGAGAGGGTGGCATGCAGACCTGAGCAGAGCTGGCTGGGCAGTTAAYGTCCAGAGGGTGTGGGGAGGGCCAGCCCTGTGGAAGTGGAGGAGGAGGAGAGTGATGGCGTGGGTTAGGGGTGGCTAGACGGTGCGCCTCGGGCTCTGGGTCAGGCTGCTGGGGTAGAGGAGAGCGAGGTGGCTTGGTGGAAGGAGATGCAGGACCGGAGGCAGAGCCGGGGCAAGCCTTGTCCCTGGGCTGATGCCTCCTTCATCTGAGACCAGCTGTGGGGCACAGGACGACGGGGTGGAAGGAGCTTTTGGAGGGTGGGTCCTGCCTGGCAGGGGCTGAGCCACCAGCTCCCACGTGGCCGTCGGGCGGAAAGCGGACGATCAGGGACGGGTGGGGACCGGAGCCCCAGCCCCCTGGCCAGTTCCTACCACCTGTGACCTCTCTTGCCTGGGTGAAGATGATTCAAATCTAGTGTGCCCAGAAGCAAGCTGTCCTCCCACGCATCCTCACGGCAGCCTGTCCTCCCCAGGGACAYGGGGCAGAAGCCTGAAAGACCTTCTTCAAGCTTTCTCTTCTTTTCCTTATCCCCAGAGCCAGCCCCTCGGCTGATTGGGCTCCTAAGTCTCTCCTCTGCTTTCTTGTCCCTGTCCCCCGCCTGGTCCCAGCCTCTGCCCTGCCCCTCTGCAGTCTCCTCCCTTGTTCCCTGGGTTCCCCGATGGCTGCCCCCCACCCTCTTACCCACACAGCAGCCAGAGGGAGCTTTCACCCTCTGCTGGCATCTTGTCAATCATGTCACCCCCTGCTTGAAGCCCGAGGGGGGTCCTTCTCCTGGAAGGTGGACCCTTGGCGGGGCCCTCTGTGTGGGTCAGCTTCTGCCTGATGTCCCAGCCCCCTCCCCTGCTGCTTGCTCTGTGCCTGCCACCCTGGCCCTTCAGGCTCGCTGTGCCTCCTCTGCCTGCCAGGGCTGTGCACACACTGTTTCCTCTTCTAGAAGTTTCTCCCCACCCCTCTTTCCCAGCCAGCGTCCATGTATCCTCAGACCCCAACATGAGTTCAGCCCCCCACAGACCCCTGCCGTCCCCTGATCTCTGTCCACCCTCCTCGGCAGCTGTCACTCCACATTCTGCATTCAGCTGTTCACATGAGCAGTTTTTCATTTGTTTGGGGATTATTTGGTCAATGTCTCTGTCCCACTCTGGACTGAGTTCCATAAAACAAGGATCAGGTCAGTATCTCTGGCATCTACATGATGCCTGGCATCTAGTAGGTGCTCAATAAATACTTGATAAATGAATAGATCAGAGAATCCAGGGAGCCTTGTCCCAAGTCTTGGGAAATGGGTAGGACTGGGGAAAGCAGCTGGAGAAGGTGGAAGGTTTCGGGTGGGACACCCCGCGGATTAAAGTGAGGGGCAAGGTGTGGCCCATGAGGCATTATCACCACCCSATGGCCTTGTCTAGAGGCAGAGTGGGGCCTCTCCTGGTCACCCGCCCTATGTATGGCCCTCAAGCTGGAGTCCGGGGGATGCAGAATTAACTGGTAAGCTTCCCTGCCTGTTGGTTTGTGTTTAATTCAAATAACACTGCAAACTTAGCTGCAGCAAGTGCCCAATCTACGTGTCCTGAGCAGCCCCGGGTCTCCTTGCTGACGCCCTTGGCGCGATCCTCAGCCCCAGTGTTTGTCTGAAAGTGCCAGAATCCTGATGCGAAATGGCCTCTTCTTTCATTCAGAGCCTTTTTCTCTGGTGATTACTTCACTTGGCCCAGAGACACATGCTGAACGTTTTAAACATTTGTTGAAATATTGAACGGTTAGGATTTAAATAGGAACACTAATGGGCAAACAGCATTTCAATTTTCTATGATCCATTTGTTTTCTCCAAACGGCAGCGATACTTCTGCTAATTAGATTACAGGCTATTACTAGATGGCACAACTTGTCTCGGTTGGAGCCTAGAAAGTGGAATGGGGCTTGTTAGAAAAAGCCTTCAGAAGGTCTGAGAGGATCCAGCCTTCCCGGTGAAGCCACTCACAGCCGCGGGCTCCCACCAGTTAGTTGTCATTGGCTGGCCCAGGAGGAGAGGTCACCCTGCATGGGTGGGGCAGGGCATGGGGACAGGGAGCGTGGTGGACAGAAGTTGCAGGTCGTGTGCAGGTGACTGGGGTGTGACTCAGGGTCCMTGTCCCCCAAGGATGTCATCAGGCTCTGTCCCTGAGTACAAGAATGGCCTCTTCTTTCCTRTTCATTCCAGTTCTTTTTCTCCTAGGAGACAAATGAGCTGAATTGAATTTTAAAAAAAACTTCCCCCTGGGGATTCCAGTGCTGTGATGTGAAGACTTACCCTTCCATTTCTTCTTCTTGTGGAAGGCAGAGATTGTATTTGTAAAAGTGGGACGTGTATTTCACCTGAAAACACCTGTGTGTGTGTGTGTGTGTGTGTGTGTGTGTGTGTGTGTTTGCCTGAGCAGCCCTGAGCAGAACCCTCTTCCTCAAAAGGGGACTGTAGAGGACAGAGCTTAGGTTGAGGTGGGGCTGCGGGCAACATTTTTAATTTTAACTGGTTGTTAAAGCTGTGTGGAGCCCAAAGTCAGTCTTGTTTAAAAAAAAAAAAAAGTAGTGTTGCTTCATAGAAAACGTGAAACGGAAGTAGGAGGTCTTCTCTACCATGCGGCATTGGGGTTTTGGAAGAAAAACTGTGCAGGAGGGAGGGGAAGGGCTTATGGTGATCCAGCTGCTGTGACAGATCCCTCCCCTGGGCGGAAATGCATTGCCTCTGGTTCCAGAGGCTGGGAGGCCAAGGTCAAGGCGTGGTCGGGTTGGTTCCTCCTGAGGGCGACAAGGGGGATCTGCTCTGGGCCTCTCTCCCTCGGTCAAGCTCCAAGACCTGCTGGCCGTCTTGGGCATTCCTTGGATCGCACATGGCCACCGTGGTCTCTCCCATGGGGTCCTCCTCTTCTCATGAGGACCCCACTCAGATGGCAGCAGGGTCCACCCTAATAACCCCATTTTAACTTGATCATCTCTGTAAAAGTCCTACGTCCAAATAAGACCAGATTCTGGGATCCTGGGGGTGAGAACTTGAACATGTAGATTTTGAGAGGGTGTAACTGAACTCCCAACACGCACTCGAAGTTTGAAGGTGAATGATTAAACGTTCACTTCGTGTTCACCTCAAGTCTATGTAACTTCTTAAAGTAAAGTTTGGAACCAGGTCAAACAAGCTGCGCTGTGGGCGCTCAGGTTGGTGATTCCTTCTGGGGACAGAGAGGCTGGGAGAAGACAGGGGGAGACCCTCCCCGCTGCTGGCTGGGTTGTGGTTCTCGACCTGGCCACCATCCCTGGGGGTGTTTCTGCTGTTTAAGAAAYGAGCTGCTTACCTCTTTTCGGAGCCCTCTTTTGTTCTTTGTCTCAGCTTTTAATAAAAAGTTTACCTAAACAATTTTTCCAGCGCTTGAATTAGGACATCTGCTGCCTACTGCCACTATGACTTAGAGATTGAAATTTTTTTTCTATAAACGTTGAAATGAATAATATTCAATCAGAGCTATAGGGGAAGTTGTAGGGAGGAGGGTTTAGGGAATAAATAGCAGATACAGCTGCTTCAATTCCTGAAAAATGCTGCTTTTTACAGGCCTCCCTGGACACCTGGACCAGAGACCTTGAATTCCATACTGTGCAGGTAAGAGCATGGTGGATTCTGAGTAATATTAGTCAAGGTCCCCTGAGAGGCAGACATATCTTCTCTCTCTCTCTCTCTCTCTCTCTCTCTCTCTCTCCCCCCGACACACACACCCACACACACACACACACACATTTGGGGATATATATGGGGGGGAGGGGAAATTGAGATGTATTTTAAGGAGTTGACTCATGTGATTCTGGCCTGGCCAGTTTGATATCTGCAGAGCAGGTCAACAGGCCTGAGACCTAGGAGAGTGGGTGCTGAGTTTCAAGTCTAAGGGCATCTAGAAACAGAATTACATTTTCCAGAAGACCTCTTTCTTTTTTTCTTAAGACCTTTAACTGATTGGATGAGACCCACCCACACTATGGAAGATGATCTCTTTGCTTAATATCTGCTGATTTAAATGTTAACACATCTTAAAACTGCCTTTGCAGGAACATCTAGTCTGGTGTTTGACGGAATAGCTGGGTACCAAACTTGACTTAGCCAAGTTAGCACGTGAAATGAACCATCACRTAAGGGTCCCTACAGATTCCTCAGTCTCTGCCCAGGACAGCAGACACTCTGCATGCCTGTCCTYATCCTGGATTGACCTGTTGTGGGTGGGTTTATCTGAGTCCCCTCAGATCGGTGCTTTCTATGCTGAGCTGAGATAGTTTCATTGTCTTGCATGACCACACCCAGCTGTTCATGCCTGTTTACTGTATATGGAGCGGGGTTTGCAACAGTCYAGCGTTTCCTGGCTTGGTGGCCTAATTTATGCCCCAAGTCCCTTTTATGAATTCACTCTTGCTTTTTTTTTTTTTTTTTCCCCCTGTGGCAAAGCCATGCTTTCCATTATGTGATGAGCAGCAAGGAACCCAAACCAACCAGCCAATGCCACGTGGGCCCTGGGCCATCCCAGGTGGTAGTGGTCACACCTGGTTCTGTTGCTCCCAACAGCTGGTTGAGGCTGCCCRTCAGAAAGCTCCAGAAAAGCCCCTGGTGAGCTGGACCTCGTAGTCACTCAGGAAGGCAGCTTTGGCCGGCTTCAGCCCACAGGGCGCTGCTGCCAGAAGCGCTGTCGTAGCCTGTTTTCAGTTTCCCAGGCAGCAGCTCCTCCCCAGCCTGGGGTGACGGGAGGCTCCGAGCATCCATCCATCCGTCTTGAGCATCCATCGGTCTTAARTCGGTGCCTTTGCTGTTCAGACAGTGAAGCAGGTGTAGTGGGGCGGGACCACACTTTCTGTTGCAGACTGGGAAACACTTCTCTCAAGGTGAAGTGACTTGCCGCAGGGTCACCCAGCAAGTTATAGAGAGGACCAGGGATAGGTTCTAGATTTCCAGACMGCCCGGCTGTCGCCATGGCTGGGATCCTGAGAGCTCCAGGAGCCTGGAGTCATTAAAAAATGGCTGTCACGCCCCCAGTGGTACTGCTGTAGGGGAAGAGTCCAAGGGGGCCACCTCTCTGGAGCTCAGACCTCAGAGGAGGAGGACTGGGCCTCCTCCTCTCACTGGCTGCATGAGCCTACACAGGTCTTCCTCTAGAAGCCCAGGGGACCATCACCCCCATTTCCTTTCCCCCATGAAATAATACAAGACACTAAAAGAGTGAGGGACAGATAATCCTTATGGGCCCATATTTCCCCATCGTTCGGTTTCGTYGATGTCCATGCACATTTCTAGAGGGTGCAAACAGTTTCTAGAAAGCGAGAAGCTGTATTGTGTGTGGCTTGCATCTGGGGCTTCTCTGATCTGCCATGGGGGTGCAAAGGAGATGTTCTCAGAGCCAAGAGCTTGAAGCCCTTTGCCGGCTCCCAGGCCCCCRTGGGTGCTGGGGAGCAAGGCCAGGGAGAATGGAGGGAAGCCAGGTCACCACAGGCTGCAGCACTGCTGGGTAGGGAGCATGCATGTGAAAGGGGGAGTGTAATTAGTCCCTCTGAAGATCTTTTCCTGTTACATAAGGCAGTTTAGCATCCTGCTCCCCAGGAAGTTTCTTCTGGAGAAAGTAGGCCATGCAGATGCAAAGGTAAAATTGGGCGCTCGTTGCAGTTGGTGACCTGCTCGGAGGGCAGTGGGCGCAGCTGGTTATAAACAAACACGTTGACTCTGGGCAGTGACCCTTTTGCATGGGCCGATGCAGGGTTTGTCCCCCTCGGGGAGTGGTCAGCAGTGAATTCTTCTTCACGTTTCCTAGAAACCAGTTACTATGAAATCACTGATTTTGTTTCGCCTGGGGAAGGATGTTCTGGGGGGTTGGAGACGACATGCCAGGGTGCAGGATCCTGGGGTCAAGTGCAGCAAGAGCGGCCTTAGCCTTTTTCTGTCCAGCAGTGAAGTTGCCCTTCCTTCTGCCTCTGTAGAGGTCTTTCTGCTTGTGGTCACACATCCCTTGGTTACAGGAGAACTTTGGTCTCTCAGGCCAACCTTGGTCTCCTTCCACAGCAAACTCTCAGGCCTTGGATGCCTCTCGGTGCTACGGAACTCGATCCGGGTGGCGATGCTGACCCCAGAAATGTTGTGATTGAGCTTTAAGATTTTGAGACCCCAGGAGGGTCGGAAAGGAGCTGAAGTGGACCCCTGTCACCGCCAGCAGCTCTCTAGACACGGGGACACAGAACAGCTTGAGGGAGGCTTTGCTGATCATTTTAAAAAACAATCCCCAAAAGGGTGAATGTCGTTTGATCTTTTCTATCAAGTATTGTTTCAAAAACATATCACAAAAGTACATTTGGGGGTTTTTCCTTCTTAAAGTAGAAATGGCGAGTTTCATATAAAAACAGAGAGAGCAGAGCAAAAGGAGGAAGTTCTGCCCGACTTTTCAGGTCGGACCAGTCGTGCCCCCTTGGATCCTGGGTAGGAATGTGTGTGTGAAAGGATGTTCTCCTCTGCCTTAGAGGAGGCCTGCCCTTGTTTCACGGAAACAAAGGAGCAGAAAACAATTAAAAATTGCGATTGTCCTCTGCTGGCCTTGACCAGGGTGACCTGGAGCACATGGTCCCCTTGGTAGCTTCCCCCGTATCTTAATCCATTTTCTGCTGCTATGACAGAATACCAGAGACTTGGTCGTCGTTAAAGAACAGAAGTGTATCCCTTACATTTCTGGAGGTTGGGACGTCTCAGAGCTTGGTCCAGCATCTGGTGAGGGCCTCTGCGCCACACTGTGCCTCGAGGAGGGTGTCACGTGGTTAGGAAGTGTTTCCAAGAGACAAGAGGAAAACAGCTGAATGCACTCATTCTTCATTAGGAGCCCACTCCTGCGACAGACAACTACACCACCCTGTGATAACTAACCCACTTGCAGGTTAACTGACCTGCTGCAGCCATAATTAACCCACTCCTGCAGTCACGATCGTAATCCAGGCAGGAGGATAGTGCCTCTGACCGGGTCACCTTTTAAAGGTCCCACCTCTTAATACTGAGACAGTGGCAATTAAATCTGAGCATGGGTATGGAGGGGCATTCAAACCATAGCACCAGATGGAGACCCAGAGCGCATGCCTCTCCCGGCAAGTGTGTGGCTCTCGGGAGCCGGCTGCCTGCCTCCTGGCACCGCTGCAGGCGGCTTTCTCTGCACCCCTGGCATCGCCCGACCCACCCCAGGACTTGCAGGCTGTGTGGAGTGAGGCCATCACCGCGCCCACCTCAGGGTTGGGCAGTCTCCGCGTTCAGCCTGCTCTTGGTGAATTATTCAGCCACCCAGGCCATTTCCTTGTTTCTAAAGGGACTAACGGTCTGCTCATTGCAGGTCACGCGTGGTGCAGCACACGGCAGCGTGTGTCCCCGTCCAAAGCTGGTGGTGACAGTTAGGGTGCTGAGGAAGTTTCACCTCTCCTTTGGTCCCACCTTGCCCTTCCATTGGGGACAAGCCACTTTGGCTAAAGGTTAGATCCTTAGGGAGCTCCTGTCCCTCCAAGGGGCTCTGAAGGTTCCACGTCCCCACTTCCCTTTGCCCCCTGTTGTTCTTTCCCACGAAAAACTCGCCTGCTCTGCAAAGGCACTAAAAGTCCTTATTGGAAAGGCACTTTTATAAAAGTGTAGAAGTTTCCTTGAGAAGCTTTTCAGTAACAGAAATGAAAAATAGATGAGCTCTCTTGAATTGCAAATGCTCTTGAAGTTGGAGGCAAAAACATGGCAATATGTCTTTTTCCCTCACCCGGGGCGAGGTCAGGGATGCCACTGTGTGTTTAACAGTAAACATCAAGCTTCTTCTTAGTGGCCTCATCCTTCCCAGAAACTTGAACTTGATTAATTTTAATCAGCTCAGCCTCTGCTGACCTTTTTCAAAAAAATTTCAATAACTATTTATTATGCTTTCTCTAAGTGCCTAGTTTTATGGCCGCGGCTGTGGAGCTAAAGATACATCAAATAGTCAAATTCTCTCCCATCGGAAGGATGATAATCTAGTTGCATATGGGTAAAATGTAGAGCAAAAACTGGTGATGCACATGCAAGTTTTAGATTCTCAAGTAAGTGCTCATAGGCTTGAGGGCGCAAAGGGCCAGAGCCCCCCGCCCCAGGACCCCATGGGGCTGCATAGTTGCCTCGTTGTCCTGAGGGCCTCCCTGGCTTAACTGAATAAACAGGACCTGGTATTAAGATGGAAGCAGCGTACCTCAACCTGCAAAGCTGCTCCTGTGTGCAGAATCCCAGGGCGCCACTTTAAATGCAGATGGGAGGTTCCCATAAGTCCTGACCTGCTTCGCTCTGGCTCCTTCAGCTTGTGCCAGGATAACAGGCCTCCTAAGTGAGGCCTCACCCTTGCTGGGACACCTCGAAACGTCACAGTGCCAGGGAGCTGGAGACAGACGAGGGCCCTTGTTGCCCAGGCGGAGGGACGCAGGCCCCGGTATCAGCTGGTCCTGGGCCTCAGTCCTTCCCTCATTCAACATGCACTTGAGAGCACACAGTGGGAAGAGCTGGAGATTCTCCAGTCTCCTTGGTTGGTTTTCCAAAGAGGAATCCCATTGTGTGTCTGAGCATGTACGTTTGCTTCTGATTTGAAGGACAAAAAGCCCAAAGAACAAGAAAAACGAGGGGATTTTCTTCATCGGCCTTTTGCCAAGAAGATGGACAAGAACCCGCCCTCGTACAGACAGCCTTCGGCCTCGCTCATCACGCAGATCCAGAACACCAAGGCGCTGCTCAAGGACCGCAAGGCTTCCAAGTCTGGCTTCCCCGACAAAGGTAGCTCAGCTGGGGCCCCTCTCGGCACTCATGTGGAGCTGTGGTCCCCTGTGCTCCCCTCACGGGGTGGCAGTGCAGGCCCAGGACAGAAATGATTAATGTGCCCTTGGGAAAGCAGCTGTCCCATGTTTGAGGCAACGGGAGAACTGTCGAGGGCCAAGCCGTGGGGGATTAGCCACCCGTACAGGAAGGGTTGGGAAAACAGGGTTCGGGCCAATATAGAAACAGAGATTGGGGCAAATGGTATTGCAGGAGCAGAGGCTGGGGTATGGTATTGTGGGAGCAGATGTTGGAGGGGGTGGTACCATGGGCACAGAGAGTGGGGCACATGGGGCTAGATTAGGGTCAAGGAGCAGAGATTAGGGTCAAGGTATTCTAGGAGTGGAGATTGGGATGTATGGTTCTGTGGGATGAGAGGTGAGGCTATAAGGTATTAAGGAGTAGAGAATGGGGTGTAGGAATAGGTATGCGTGGTCAGAAGTGGGGCTGTGGAGAACACATGGTGTTCTGGAGCCAGGGATGGTGCATGGTATTGCAGAAGAGACTGGGCTGCAGGAGCAGAGATCAGGGTGCAAGAACAGAGATGGAGCAGAGAGTGGTGGGCGGAAGCCTAGACTGGGACATGGTTTTGTTGGAACCTTTATTAGAACAGTGGCCCCAGGGAGGCATGGCAGTGTGACTGAGTCTGAGCTACTGGTAGAGGTAGGATGCTCGGACCTGAGTTCAAAGCCCAGCTCTGCTGCTCACAGACCCTGGGTCCTCACTGGTGCCCTTCCCTCTAACAGCTCCCACCTGTTAGAGCTACCAGTAGATAAAGTGAGATACGCATGTAGGCCTCTGCTTGATTTGGAATCCAGCCCATTGCAGATAAATAATAAGTGTGGGTCTGCAACCTTTAGGATGGGCGTGGGAGGAAGTAGGAGAGCTCACCAGGTGCGGGCTTAACACACTGGAGATGCTAAGAGCAGTGACACAGGAGCCAGGGGCCTCCTGACTCACAGCCATGAGGGAAAGGAGAGATTTTTGTTACCAAGGGGATATAGAGGTCCCACTGTCTAATCCTTTCATTTCAAATGTGAAGAAACCAAAATTCAGCGAGGGCCRTAGCCAGTTGAGGTCAACTGAGGCTTGCTGGGCAGTAGTGGACTCATGGGTAACGGCAGCCACTGTCCTGGCTCCACCCAAAGCCGCCTGCCTTCTTGGTGCAGAGCGGCAGCCCTCCTTGCAGGGAGGCCGTGTTCTCGGGCCAGCTGGTAGCACTGGAGGCCTCCGTGATGAACAAAACCTGACTCCTTCCTGCTGATGGGCCTCAGAGGAGATTTATTTTGGTGGCTGTGGGTTTATTTATGGGAGGCAAGGAGGAATACAGTGCCCTCCGCTGCTCCCCACATCTCTCCCCATGGGCAGCAGCTGGCACCTGCAGCTAGGCCTCCACAGAGCCTGCAGACGGTTACGTACAAGACAGACGCTACCACGGAGCAGGAACTTGGCTTTATCTCCCTCGGCTCCAACTCTGGTGGGGAGTTCCCTCTCTTCTCTGGCGTAGTCTGTGCCAACTTGAGATGGAAAATGCGGGGACTGGCTGGTGGTTGAACTACCCCGGTTCAGAATGGGCTGAGGCTTCGTGGGGATCAGAGTCATGAGGGAGCCATGAAGGAGGGAAGTCCTGACACATGCTGCAGCGTGGGTGGCCCCTGAGGACATGAGGCCAAGTGGAGTGAGCCAGTCACAGAAGAACAGATGCTCCACACAGGAGATTCCTCGAGTGGTCAGGTGTGCAGAGGCAGATGGTAGAATGGTTACCAGGGGTGGAGGAGAGAATGGGAGTCCCCGTTTATCCTGGGCACAGAGGATTAGATCTGCAAGGTGAAAATGGTGCATGGGGACTGGTGGCCCAACAAGGCGAGTGTCCTTAACGTTACTGAACTGTATCTAAAAGGTGATTGAGATGATACATTTTCTGCTGTATATTTTTTACATGATAAATTTTCTAAAAATATACACGGGGAAATAGTCTTTCCGGTGTCAGTGTCAGAGGACAGGTTTGTGGTGCTCAGTGAGCCACGCTTCCTGCGTTTCCACAAGTTCCAGGCTTGTCCCGTCAGGCTGGTGCATCTTTTTTATTCAGAGGTCCTTTGACGGGGTCTAGAATTTTAAGCCACCAAAAGGGGAATAAGATGTTAAGCTGGGGCCTCCGTCACCAGCCTTCTGCTTCCTGCATCTAGAAGGACTGTCACGGCCTCTGTGGGACCATCAGATGCCGTGGCTGAGTCCTTTGCTTCCTCTTCCTCCTGCCCTCCATGTGCTCAGCGTCTCAGCCAGACTGGGGGACAGTGCAGGCGGAAGAGGGGCCGCGTCCCCGTCTCTGTGGCTGTCTTAATGGTTTTGTTTTCTGGGTGTGCAGATTCCTTCGGCTGTCGAAACATTTTCCGCAAAACCACTGATTCCAATTGTGTGGCTTCTTCCTCCATGGAGTTCATCCCCGTCCCACCCCCCAGAACCCCCAGGATTTTAAAGAAGCCGGAGCCCCATCAGCAAGGGCCTGGGAGCGCCAGCATCCCGCCAAAGGAAGATCCCCTGATGCTGGACATGGTGCGCTCCTTCGAGTCTGTGGACCGTGACGACCACATAGAACTGCTGTCCCCTTCCCATCACTATAGGATTCTGAACTCACCTGTGAGCCTGGCTCGCAGGAATTCCAGTGAGAGGACTCTGTCCCCGGGGCTGCTGTCTGCAAGCACGTCACCTCTGCAGACTCCTTTGCATCACACTCTGGTCTCCTTTGCTCATGAAGATAAGAACAGCCCACCCAAGGAGGAGGGCGTGTATTCCCCACCTCCAGTTCCCAGCGCCGGTCACACTCAGCCTCTGGGGAGCCCCAACTGTGTGAAGAGCCGGGGCAGGTTCCCCATGATGGGCATTGGACAGATGCTGAGGAAGCGGCACCAGAGCCTGCAGCCTTGTGCGGAGAGACCCCTGGAGGCCAGCATGCCCCCGCTGCAGCCCTCAGCCCCCACAAGTCTTTCTTTTGACATGGCTGACGGGGTCAAGGGCCAGTGTTAACCTGGGTCCGTGAGATTCTGAGCCTCTGTAAGGAAAGCAATGGAACAGGGCTCCACACGTCTGAACCAAGGCCTCGCAGAAGCGTCCTCCACGGCCTCATCCGCTCTGCCCTGCAGTATCTCACCTGTGGATCAGCCGAAATCCACAGACCCAAAGCCCGCACCACCCAGCCTTGCTTAGGGACCCCCGAGGTGCGAGAAATCACTAGGAGGGTCAGCTACAGAGGCAGCCCGTTCCAATTCCAGTCTCAGACCCTCCTTCCTCCCGCCCACTCACCAAGCCTCCTCCGTGAACCCCTGCTGGACTCGGGGCTGAAAACCACACTCTGACCTTCTGGGCCACTCAGATCTATAGACTGTTACCAGATCTTTCTTCACTCTGTGCTACGTGCATGCCTCCCAGTGGATTGCTCTCTGTTCAGCTGTGGGTCACTGTCTCACGGGGACCAGTAGTGTCACAAGGTCATTCATCCAGAATCTGTTCCGAGCATCCAATCCCTATAACCTAGCAGAAGCTGTGACCAGGAGCACCGGGCCCTAGGAACCCCAGAGGAAGACGGGGCAGAGCCTCAGAAAAGGTTGGAACCCAACAGTATGAACTCTAGAAGGAAAAGACTGACAGAAACACTCATTCCCAGGCAGAGTTTTTAAGCAGGTTTTAATTTTATTTGGTCAAAACTTTCTGATGGTTGAATGATCTTGTCCAAAGAGATTTTTCTTTATATCATGTTGATAAATCAATATTGCATAATTTTTAAAAGCCCAGATGGAGAGATGAAAAGCAGTTCTACCAAGTTAATGTCTTCATGAGAGGATTCAGCGTGGAGGGCTGGCTGGGGTGGTGTCTTCTGTGGTGTGGGACCGCGATGGCCTGCAAGAGGGGGCAGGACCCAGCCAGCCCGTCTTCATCCCATTGCATCCACAGAACCTTGATCCTTCCGGAAGGCGTAGAACACGGTGACAGTTGGTTCTTTAGAGACAGAGAAAGGATGTGGTGGCAGAATTCAACAAGGAGGTACCAGTTTTTAGGTTGCCAAGAAAACTTGTGCGGGTTAGAGTTGAGCTGGTTTGCTGTGAGCCCTGAAGAGGCTTTCAGGAGCCCGCTCAGACACAGGACAGCTTCTTCCTTGAGGGAAGCAGCATCCCTCCAACAGGGTTTCAGTTCGTGTTGTGTTTTCACACCTTTTGCCAAGGATCAAACCAAAGACGCGTTTCCCGTCTCGTAACTGTGCCGTCCCTGTGTGTGTGCATTTTGTGGCCCCCAGTGTTGTCTGACCATATCCAGCTGGAGCCTGACGGAGGCTGTCTCCACGTGGGAACTGGGTCCTGGCACTTGGCAGGGGACTCAGCCATGGGCAGAATTGCAAGGGAAAGTCAGCCCTGGCTGAGTAGCAGTTAGTTTAGGAGACAGGCTTACAGAACAGCCTGGAGTCACTCTGACTTTCGACTAGTGCGAAAAGTGACCATCGACCACTGCTTGGCCACCTCCTGGTAGTCATCTCAGTCCATTGTTCCAGTGATTCCAAAATAGGCCAGTCCCTTGAGAGTCGCAAAGCTAGTCTTCATTTTCCTGCAGCTAACCCTGAGCCAGAGAGTGGTGAGATTGACCTTTACCGTTTTCTCGTTTCCTGGTGGAGACTTCCTCTGGCCCCTCATGACTCTTACTGAGCAAGGAGAGAACAGACATTGGCTGTTGCTGGAAGCCACTGAGATGCCCCAGTCTGGGCAGTCCTAGGCAAGACCCAGGGCTGCCTAATCCCTCTCCAGTTCTAGGACATGTTAGGAAGAGGTCAGGATCCTGGCTGCTGGTGTTATCCCTTTATGTGCTTCAGACTGGGTTCCAAACTTCACATTGAAAATAGAACTTATAAGTGGAGAGAAGAAAAGAATCATCTGGCAGAACCTCCAGCCATCTGACATGAAAAGTGGACTTTCTGATGGTGAAGGATCCTTTTTTAAAGATGGCTTCCAGCTGCAACCGATTTGCTCCGCAAGATGGCGGGACCCCGACCTGTGTGTTGTGAACTTGTTGTAGCCCCTCTGTCTCTTTCTTGCATTCTGCTTTCCTCGCACGTGTGTGTGCTTTTGTGTCGTCGTTAGTGTGTGAGAAACATGTTCCCCATTCTTCTCACACTTCAAGAAAGGCCGCAGATGTCTACCGCTAGCTGAATCGCGTTGCCGCTGGTAACTTGGACTCTGAACTCAGGTTTACTCTGAACCCAGTGAGAGGAAAGGGAATAGCTGTATTTTTTGGTGTGTGTGTGTGAGCACCCGGCAAATCTATGAAACCAAGTGAAAGAAGAAATGTTAAATTCTTTATTATTTTATTATATTTATATGGAAAACTTGACTATCCCTTTGGTAAGTACAAAGTGTGTTGTCTGTTTGACCCATGACTGTCCCCCCTCAGTCTGTGCCTGTGATTTCAGTAGCTACTGATGGGAATGACTGAACTGTCAACTGGTCACAAAGTCTTGCAGGAAAAGTCCATTGTAATTGTATGATTTGGTCATAAGTAAGTTTATGTCACCATTGTTAAATATATGTACTTTTATAATGACTGTGAAATACACTTTTTCCTCACTATGACGGCTTCTTGATTTGCTCATACATCTTAACATAAGGAGATTGTAAAGAACAGAATCATCCTGGGCATTTTCTACTCCAGTGCTCCAGCCACATTTCACCTGCACCAGGTATGTCTACAAAAGCCTCTGTCACTGCCACACTGCAAATGGCAGCTCGGGATGAATCAGCATTTTACAGTGTTGAGGGGTCAAGATTTCCCATGGAGACTCAGAAAACAGCACTTGCAGAATGATGTCTGTGAACATTGCTTCTGGATATTGTCCTTCCTTCAGGCCTGGCTCAAGGATGGGGTGGGGAATGATGGGAGGGGATTGAGGGGGTTCTAGGTTAGCTGGGTGGATTGTCCCRGTCGTTGCTTCATTCCTAACTGTGCACAAGACGTTTTTCATACGTAGCAGCTTGCTTAAGCCTCGTACCCCTTTTACAGTGATGAAATGAGGCTTAGTGGATAGCATGTTTAGAAAGTGGAGAGCCCCCCCCATTTCTACCACACAAAGCTCACTATGGAATTGACGCCGAGATAAAGGAACAGTATCTAATTTTGATATTTTCTTGTAAGAATCACAACATTTTAGAGCAGAAAGAAAATCTGACAATCTCTGGTTCAATCACAGCCTTTTTTTTCTTTTAATGAAGAGAAAGTGGGGGGCCCCAGTAGTTTCAAGGGTCCCCAAGTGAGCTAGCATCAGAGCTGGTCTGGAACATACATTCCTCTCTCAAAGAGAAATTTATACGTGGCCACTATGTTTAGAGGGTGAAGTTGACAGCAAATGAAGCTGTCATTCCAACAGAATTTCTGAGGTTCCTACAAGGATCCAGTCTTCATTTTTAAGTTATGTGCAAAATTGTGCAGCTTCTTGTGATTCTGCACCATTCGAGAATAACTGTCCTAATTGTGCAGATTCTTGAACATCCCACTCTTTCCACCCTCCATCACCAGGTTATCGAAGCTGGAAATAGCTTTCTTACTGGACTCTGTCTTCCTTGATAGAGCTCCCAGGTAAGCAGCAGCCTCTTGATAGCGTGTTACTACTTTAGCCATTCTAAGTCTATTGGGTTTAACTGGGTGAAATCGATAAAACATCTTGCATTACAGCCATATCACAAAGTTAGACAAATTCATAAAGGATGCAAGACTGATGTATTTTTTAGCGGGGGGGGGGGGGGGTGGGACTGGAAATCTGTTATTTTGTTTGTTTTCTTTGTAGGATCCTCCGTGTGCCATAGGCACAGTCAGAATAATTCAGAGCAGTCCTGGGAGCTGGTTCAATTTAATGTCATCACTTTTCAATGAAAGGACCGTGTTTCCTGAGTAGTCAACGAGTGTATTATTTGTGGCAGCTTTTTTGTCAAGGGAGCTTTTCAGACATCTGGTTCCAAAGACAAATGGGGCACATATTTGTTCTTCTTTGCTGCGGATGTGTTCCCACAACACACGGTCATGCCTGGGATTGGCCGCCTGTGGGCATCCAGGAAGGGGGAGTTGGGGAGGTTGAGCAGAGGTCTTTGAGGGAAGATGAGGAGCATCTCAGGCTTTGCACCCCCCACCAAGTATCCACATCTGAGCTGGTGTTCAGATGATAAGGCATTTGGGGACCCACATCTGGGGGCATAGAATAGCTTGATGTGGAGCAGCCTTGGGGATCAACTGGAGTAGAGTGGTTTACGTTGACAAGATGGCCACATTGTAGAAAGGACGATGCCAGGAAACTATTGGAGAAAAAATTAATAGCTCTGATTCAAGGGCCTCAGCTGCTTGCATTCCCTACTCAGAAAATGACCTGAGAGCTATTTTGAAAGCGAAGGCTTTAACTTATATTTAAACTCTATAGGGTGACAAAAATTCATTTTTTCCTAGACCTGTGGYCACAGTCAGGTGGAGAAGGATAGACTGCCATCCTATCACCAGAACCAGGCTTCTTGCCTAAAACAGGTGATGGATTCATGGCAGCTCTCCTTGCCATGACCGTGACCCCTTCATTTCTGTTCTCCCCTCTGGCAACCAGGCTTTACTTGGGTGACATATTTAACCCCGAATCTCTGTGACCTTCCCCAGGAAGATTTATTTCCTACTGAAGTTTTCATGAGGCTCGCTGACTCCAAAGCAGCCCTCTTCCATGTGGTGACTCAGGGATCCAGGCTGCTTCCAGTTTGTGGCTCCAGCCACTTAAAATGAAGTTCCTCTGGCTGCTGTAGCAAGAAAGGGAGAGCTGGGGTGTTTCCCACCAGTGCTCTGTGAGGGGCGTGTCACCTCCCCTCACAGCTCATTGGCTTCAACTAGTCTGCAGGGCTTCTCGGTGAGCAAGGGGCTAGGAAATGAGGAAAGCAAATGGCGATTTGGGATACAGATAATGTTTCTGTCACAAATACCTGACATTTAAAGGTACCCTACAACCAGACTGGCCTTGCCCC